CGAGAAAGGAGAACTTTCGCGATTGGTAACTTCATTTCCCTTTAAGTTATTACTACTATTCCGGAGGTAGGTGAAACGAAGCCTCTTTTGAAGCTTTTTCAGTGCGTCGTTTGTTAACGTTACAGCGCGAAACGTGGCTCGGTTCCGAGAAAAGCGTGTCGTTACTTTTCTCCTTTTCTAGCTTACCCTCTTTCTCCTATTTTCTTTCTCTCTCTCTCTCTCTATATATATATATATATTCCTTTCTCTCGTTTACCTCCCCTTTCCTTTCCTTTCCATTCCTTTCCTCCTACTTTTCCGCTTTTTACTCGCGTATTATTACACGAACGGATGAATACTTTTAGCCCGGGTGCAAATATGGAGCAACGTGTAATGAAACATTAGACATGTCATACTTAAAATGAAACAATAGAAAGAGAAGGCATAGAAAAAAAGGGTCCACTTTGATTTTTCATTCTTCTCGTTCATTATTTCCTTCTTTCTTTCTCTCTTTATCTTTTTCACTATCTCTCTCTCTCTCTCATTCACTCTTTCTGTCTACCATTTTCTTTTCGTTTTTAGATAAGAAAACTCTACCTACTTATTAAATTCACTTTAGATTCTATTCTTTATTTTTTTTTTTGCTTCTTCTTTTCGTTCTATTACGAAGATCCCAAGGATGGGAAATTGATAAAGAAGGATAGGAAAATGATAAAGATCTTGTCTTTATTTTTCTTCTTCTTATTCTTTTTTTTTTTATTTTTTGCTTTATTTTCTTTTTTTTCTATTTTTTTTTTTTTTTTTTTCCGTCTACCTCCCCCACTACCCTCTCCACCCCTCGTGCCTCTCGCGAAGGACTTTTTTTCTTACTGACGAAGAAAAACTCGATGGAAGATATTAATGGAAAACTTTGATCTTTTTCTCTTTCCCTACTATCCTTTTAAAAAGTTCGAAGGACACCGATACTAACGGTTGAAGAGACTGTCATGGAAGAAAGTCGAGAGAGAAATTAATCGTGCTAATTGGCTGTATCGTTTCCATCGTTAGTCGACCTTATAATAGAGAGGAAACAACCGAAGAGTTATTCTCCTAGAGTGTTTTACAAATTTCAAAATGATATCCTTGTAAATTGAAGCTCTCGATTTTTCTGTTTTTAATTTCAATCGAATAAAAAAATTCATAACGCGTTTGGTATTTTTTTTATTTAACTTATGATACGAAATTACAAGCAACGAATTTTGAATCAATGCTCAAATTAATCAACGGAAGAAGAAACTACCAAAGAATTGTTCACCTATCGTGTTTTCCTAATTTCTAAACGATTTCTATATTTAAAAAGAAATTTACATTTTTAAGCAATTGATTTTCCTTTTTTTTTTTTTTATTTAAATCGAATAAAAGATTCATAACGTGTTTGGTATTTTCTTATTTAACTTATGATACAAAATTACAAGCAACGAATTTTGAATCAATGCTCAAATTAATCAACGGAAGAAGAAACTACCAAAGAATTGTTCACCTAACGTGTTTTCCTAATTTCTAAACAATTTCTATATTTAGAAAGAAATTTACATTTTTAAGCAATTGATTTTCCTTTTTTTTTTTTTTTTTTAAATCGAATAAAAGATTCATAACGTGTTTGRTATTTTCTTATTTAACTTATGATACGAAATTACAAGGAACGAATTTTAAATTGAAGTTCAAATTAATCATTTAAAGATAACTTTATAATATTTTA